CAAGGCAGCCTCTGGGGTAGCTGGATTCTCCTGGGCCTGCCCCAGCAGGAAGGACAAGCCTGCCCCAGCTCAGCCCGGCTGCCTGCTCAGGCCACAGCCAGGGGCTGCTTGCCCCTCCCCCGCTCCACCCAGCCCCAAACCTCAGAGCCGCCCACCCGGCCCCTGGATGGGGGCCTGGAAACTCAGCACTGCAGACTCAGGAGATTTTCCAGGCTGTGTGTGCGCCTGCGCATATGTGCTCTTTTGAAAGGCGGGGGCGGGGGGCGGGGGAAGGTTGCAACCAGGGAAACTGATGTGAAACGGAAGCGGTCCCAGGTCCCAGTGTGACCAAGAGGTGGGCGAAACGACGTACCTTCTCATCCCATCCTCACCCCACTTCACCTGCGGACATCTCACTTTGTTCTTTCTGGTAGCCTTGATCAGCAACCAAAAAGGGGAGAGGCGGGGTGGAGGCGCCCTAATTCGGAACCTAAGGAGAAAAGACGCACAGGACACAGGTCTAGGTAAATGCAGGGTATGTCAGAACCTGCCCAAGAGTCCCCACAAAAAAGAGGCCTGCGGGACCCAGCACAGACTCCATAGCTAGTCCTTTGGACAGAGCCTTGAGGAGGCACCTGGCCTTAAGAGGCACAGCCACCAGTCCCCAGGGCACCTGTCTCCCGGTCCCCTAGAGGTTCTGATAAATAAGCAGCAGCCAGCTGGGCACGGTGGCTCATGCCTGTAATCCCAGCACTTTGGGAGGCTGAGGTGGGCAGATCACGAGGTCAGGAGATCAAGACCATCCTGGCCAAATGGTGAAACCCCGTCTCTGCTAAAAATACAAAAATTAGCTGCGCGTTGCGGTGCGTGCCTGTAATCCCAGCTACTCGAGAGGCAGGAGAATCACTAGAACCACGGAGTTGGAGGTTGCAGCGAGCTGAGATGGCGCCACTGCACTCCAGCCTGGTGACAGAGTGAGGCTCCATCTCAAAAAAACAAAATAAAATAAATAAGCAGCAGCCTCCCCAGCCCAAACCTCTCCATTCAGCAAAAGAAAAGGTACCGCAAGGGCTGTATCTCCTCCCCAGCAACCACCCCCACAGACAAACCCACATCCTCTCCCTAGAGAACCCCTGGGGTTCCCCCCACTACCCTGAGGTCTCAGGGCACCTTACTGATTCCTTCTGGAGAGAGCCAGCCAGGAGGCAGAGGAGAGGGCAAGGGGCAGGTCCAGGAGTCCTGGCTCCCAAATGTGAACTGGCCTGGCCTACAGCTGTCCCAGGCAGCGCTCTTCCGGCCCCTCCCTGCTCTCCCACAGCCTGAAGCCAGGCCTTGGGCAGCCCCCACACTGGAGGAAGATAATCAACGGGCAGCAGAGGGGTGGGGTGGCTCAGGACAGCCAGGCCGCCCACTCCCCCTGCTGCCTATACTATGGGGAAGGTGGCCAGGGAGTGGGGGAAGGCCTAGTTCCCCTTGACCAGGTCATGGGAGAGCAGGGGAGGGGCTGGTCACGTGTGGATTGACACTGTGCATGTGCATTTGTGCAAATGTGGGCCATGAGGGTGTACACATCTGTCTTGATGGATGCATGAGTGGGTGTCCAGGGACAACACAGAGCGGGAGGGAGACGGGAGCCCCTGGGAAGAAAAGGCCACATTGTAGAATAGATGTCCATTTGGCTGGCTCTGGGCTTGGGAGAGAGGGAGGGACTCTTCTACCCTAAAACCTTCCTGCCAGGGTCCTGAGTTCCAGCAACGGACAAAGAACCAGGTACTTTCCTGGACCTCCTGGCAAGATGGCCCAGTGCCGAGCAGGGCTGGATTGCTGGTCCTCCCAGCCAGGGGTAAGGGGTATGGGATGTTCCCCTTCACCCAAAAGGTAGCAGGAGGTCCTAGCTGGCCCGGCACAGGGGTGCAGCTTTGAGACAGGGGTGCAGTTGTCTCTCTGGTCAGCCCGGACCCATCCCATGCCCCTAACAGCACTTCCCTGCCCCACTCACCCTGTCTCCCCTGCTGTCTCCCTGCTTCCTCCGGGATGAGGCCTCCCAGATCCAGTTCTCAGTGTTTCTGTCTCCCCCACACAAACAGGAACAAGCCTGGGCCTATAAAGTTGGGGCAGAACGAGCTGGCTCAGGCTGGCCTAGGATTTTGGGGGCAAGAAGGATGGAGGAGCAGCCACCCAGGATCCTAGTGCTTCTCCAGAGAGGAGCCGAGGAGGGCAGCTAGGAAGGGGGCAGAGCAGGTGGAGTGTGCAGGACCCAGGAGTCCTGGCCCCCAGCAGCTGACTCTCTCCCCAGGATCCTCCTCTTGGATAATTAGAGGGTGGCAGCCTTTGCCTCTGGGAGCCAACTGCACCCCAGCAAGGAGCTCCCTACTCCCTAGGGGCTGGCAAGGAGCAAAGACTTCTGAGAATTCTAGATGTAACGGCCGCCTTTCCCCTGGGCCGGGGGCTTCTGACACTTGGGGCAGGGAGCTGCAGCTCATAGCCCTGGAACTGGGAATCACTAGAGGGTGAAACAAGAGAGTCAAGACGTGTGTGGCCAGAGCTCGGGAGGGCTGAGGGCACCCACCACAGCCTCAGATGGGACAAGGCCTGACTCTCAGGATGCGTCACGCCCTGCATCAGTCCCTCCCCAGCCTGGCCTGCCCTCTCTGTCCTCCCTGGTGTGGACTCTGTCCCACCCAGGATGCTGGGAGACCCCTGGGAGTGACTCCTTCCTGAACTTCCTCAGTGCTCTGGTGGAAGCGCCCCAGCAGCCCTGCTTCGGGGAGAAAGTCAGCAATGAGGAGGAAGAGGGAGGCTGTCGAGAGGTGAGACCCGGCAGCCGTGACCTCCTCACCCTGTGCTGCTCCCAGGCCCACTTCCCCAGCCAGCTCCTCCCAGCTCCTCGCTCCTCTGGCTACTGACTCCCAACCTCTCCTCCGGGAGCAAATCACTCCATGGGCTGACAAGGAAGGTGCTATGATCATCCCCCAGTGGAGGGAGGAAGCTGAGGAGGAGACTGAGACTCAGCAATTTGCCCAAAGTCACACAGTTAATAAGCTACGTTTAGACTCATTATGCACAGATCTTTCTGATTTCCAACGATTACTATACTTTCTCTGGAGTCGAGGGTGGCTAGAACCTAAATCTCAACCCAGGAACACAGATCAATTCGAGTGATGGAAGTTTGACAGCCGCTGGGACCACGGGTGGGAAGGTTCTGGAGGGGAGAGGGAGTCACTCCCAGGAGCCTCCCAGCAGCCCAGATGGGATGGAATCCACTCCAGAGAGGGCAGAAAGGGGCGTCCCAAGTCACCAGGCCAGGCTGGGGAGGGAGTGGTACAGGGCGACGACGCATGTTTTGTCCCATCTGAGGTTGCAGTCGGCACCCTCAGCCCGCATGAGCTCTGGCCACACACCTCCATGGACGTCCAGGCATCTCTAAGCACAGGAGAAGAAGGAGTGGGCAGGAGCCAAGGAGTGACTGTCCCCTCTACCCCACACCCAGCCAGAGGGAACGGGGGATCCTTGAGAGGTCTTGCCTCATGCTCAGCCACTACCCCCACCTGCCCCCAACTATCTTCCCCATCTTCTGGCTCCCATCTTCCTTGCTGTGAAGCTCAGCTTCCAACTGTACAGCCCTAGGCCTCGGTCTGTGGGGGCAAAGGGTAGGCTCACAGCCAACAGGGCTCAGACCCTGGAAACTTGGGGGGACCAGGCAGACCTGTGTGGGGAGGGCTTTGCCGCTTCCTCCTCCCACCCCTGTGGTGTCCTAGCTTCCTGTTCTTGATAACAATCAGCATAGGCCCAGAGCCGGGCCCTCTTTCCAACCCCCACCTGCCCCCTTCTGTGTCCCCAGGGCCCCCACTACCCACCAGTGGAAACACTGACTGGTGTGGGGGGTGAGGCAGAGGCCAGTCTCCGGGTCACTGCCCGCAAGCATGTTAGGGATTCCCAGGTTCCTGCTCCCCTCCACTCTCTCCTGAGCACAGGAGCCAACCCATTTCCCAGCCCTAATTGGCCTCCTCCTCGGGGAAACCCACCCACTCTGGAGAGGAGCGCAGGCTGCAAGGAAGGAGGTGCCAGGATCAGCTGGCCATGGAGGGGCTCAAAAAAGAGCCAGCCCCTGTCCCCACTGCCCAGAGCAAGGGCGGGTGCTGGGAGGCCTTCTGAGCCTCTGAGAGCCGTTCTTGTTCTTCATCTCAACCCTCCTCCCCAAGGGGCCAGCAGAAGGCCAGCCCCCTCCCGACCACCCCCTCCGGCGTGCCTACCCCCTGTGCCTAGGGTACCTCATTTCTTTTTTGCTGTCACCGTTTGACAGCTGAATCAGGGAAGTGGGAGGAAGAAAGAGGACGTGGATTGTGCGTGTTGGGGGCCGGGAAGGGAAGGGCGTTTGAAATGTTACAAGGTAAAAGGAGGCCTGCAGCAAGCATGAACCGGCTGGGCTGCTGGCCCGCAAGGAGCCTGCCAAGGCCAGGCAGGGACAGTGGGCAGAGGAGTCTTGGACTTGGGGGCCACCCTTCAGGTCCCAGGCATCCAGGCACCCCAGCAGCGAAGAGGACATGGGAGTCCCCTGGTGTGAGGGCCAGAGACTGTCCACTGTCTGTAAGTCTTCTAAGTAGATGTCAGGGTTCTGGGAGGAGGCCTGCAGGGGGCTGGGGGCCCAGGGGAAGCCCCTCAGACTCCCTCCCACAAGTGGACTCTGCTATCTGTTTCCTGCTGGGCTGGCCTACACTCAGGCCGCGGGCTGTGGAGAGCTGGGCCGTGGCACAGGGCGTGGAGACGACCTTTTTGGCCTGGCCCCAGGCCTTTCCTTCACATTGTGAGGCATGGATTCTTGCCTCCTCTTTTTCCCCACCCCGAGTCTGTGCCACATCTGCTCTGGGAAGATGTGGTCTGTGCTTGGCCATGAATTCCCAAGGCTTGAAGCAGCAAGGGCTTTGAGGGAGAGGACTGTGAGGCAGAAGCAGAGAAGCAGAAATAAGCCTCCGGCCAAGGTCAGGTTGAGCAGGAGAGCCTTGGGTTCTTTGTGGGACAGCACAGAGCTGGGGGTCAGGCGAGCTGTGCCCAGCAAGTAGGCAGTGGCTGGATGTGACAAAGACCCAGAGGAGAAACACAGCAGGAGGGGAGAGGGTCTGGAAGCTGGGGAAAGCAGGATGGTCGGGAAGGCCTGGCCCCTCACCCATTCCCAGGGAACAGGGCCTTGGGCCCCAGAAGGGCACAGGCGGGAGGCAGCCGACCCCTGGTGGCAGCGGCAGCAGGCACAGGAGGGCAGAATGCAGCTGGGGTGTGCGTGGGTGGCAGCAAGGAGGGGCGGAGGGAGGAAGCTGGCTTCCTGGAGCCTTCTCAGCCCTCAAAGACAGACCGACAGACAGACAGACAGCTGGCAAGAGGCAGCCTGGGGGCCACAGCTGCTTCAGTAAGTATCTGAAGCGGGGACTGGGAGTCCTGTGGCCCTGGGGGGTGCGAACTCCGGGGATATAAGAGGGCATCTCAAGAGGGAGTGCGGGAGGGTGAGTGGGGCGCTCCAATGCCTGGCTGGGGAATGGGTGCTCACAGACCTGGTGTCCCCAAGATGGGGGTGAGCAGGGAAACCACAGGGAGCTGCAAGGACAGCAAAGGCTGAAGGGACCCTTTCTGCTGCCAGAGACCCTTGCTCTACCACCCACACCTGTGCCGGGCCCACTCTGTCCCCTCACCTCCATCCCTGCCGCCTTGGTGACTCAACAGCCCCGCCACCTCGCCCACTGTGACCCTGGCTCTGGGAGATAGGGACTGCCCCCAAGAGGAGATGGTCCCATTACCTCCATGCCCCCTGTCTTGCCCCCAGCTGTCGCCTCACCATGCGCTGTCGCTCAAGGGCTTGGTGAGGCCATTTCCTGTGACGGTTACAGAGGCGGGAGACGGGGGGATGGGCAGGAGGAGGAAGGAAACACCTCCAGCCTACCTCCCTGGACAGAGACCCCAGAAGCCAGAAATGGACTTGGGAGTGGAACAGCAGCAGTTAGGAGAGGACCCTGCTGGGGTCCAGGAGCCCGCCTGCCTGGCTGCCCAATCAGCTCCCACACTGCTGGAGGCCTCCATTCCCTGTTCAGGAGAAGGCCCACTGGTTAGCTCAGAGATGGCTTCTGCACGCTTTCTCCCTTCTGTCCTAGAGAACACATGTTTTCTGTTTCCTCCCTTGCCTTCTCCCACTTGGACCCGCTCAGAGCCCTGTGTACTCTGGTGTGTGGCCTCTCTCCCCTCTCTCTTTTCCTCCTTCTGGATTCTTTCCTATCTTCATCCACAATCTCTACCCTTTATCTTGCTGTTACTCTGACCCCAGACTGCCTTGTGCCCTGGGTCCCGCCAAATAGATCTTGTCCTTCCCTTAGTGAAAATGAGGCTACCTCTTGGGAAACAGAAGACGCCCCAGTGAAAACAGAGCGCAAAGCCGGCCTAGCGTGGGAGCCTCCTTCTGGCCAATCAGCAGGCCAGAGAACAGCAGCGGAGGACCCTGTCTTTCAGGCAGACCTCATGGCTGAATGAGCCTCCCCTGGGCCTAGCACCCCACCCCAGCATGGTCCAGGCCTGTGGGGGGCGCTCCAGAGCACAGCCGCTGACCTTGTCTTTGGGGGCAGCCATGACCCAGCCTCCGCCTGCCAAAACGCCAGCCAAGAAGCATGTACGGCTGCAGGAGAGGTGAGATCTTCCCTGGGAGAGGGTCTTCCCCGCCCTGCGTCCCCATTCCGCTCCTCCCTTCCCTCCATCTGCTCCTCCAGCTCTGACAGCAGGGTCCAGAGGGCCCTCAGTTGTTGACTCCTATTTGGAAAGGAAACCAGTAGTGCTCATTTGCATGTCTTTTGCATGTCTGGAGCACAGAGTTTCATATCAACCCTGAGCCTGCTCCCTAAATTCCAGGCAAGGCCAGCAGCGTTCTTGGTGCTGGATGCATGTCAGAGCCACAGGGCCTGGCTGGGAGTGGGAAGAGGCAGGCAGCTGGAAGAAGCAGTTGAGTTCAAGGCTGCCCTGTTCTGGCTGACAAAGGGAGAGGGCTGAGCCGGGCATGGTAGCTCATGCCCCAAATCCCAGCACTTTGGGAGGCTGAGGTGAGAGGATCTCTTGAGTCTAGGAATTAGAGACCAGCCTAGGCAATATAGTGAGACCTCCTCTCTCAAAAAAAAAAAGGAGGGCATACAGCAGGGGCCCGAACCCTAAATTTACTGGCCCTCCAGGTTAAAGGAAAGACAAAGAGCGGCCCCCTCAGAGGTGCCTCATAACAGTAATACTTGTAAGAAAAGCAAATATGGTCAGGCACAGTGGCTCCTGCCTATAATCCCGGCACTTTGGGAAGCCAAGGCAGGAGGATCACTTGAGTTCAAAACCAGCCTGAGCAACAGAGCAAGACCCTGTCTCTCCAAAAAAAAAAAAAAAATTAAATTAGCCAGGTGTGGTAGCATATGCCTGTGGTCCCAGCTACTCTGGAAGCTGAGGTGGGAGGATCGCTTCAGCCCAGGAGTTTGAGGCTGCTGTGAGCCACAATTGTGCCATCACACTCCAGCCTGGGCAACAGAGAGAGACCCTATCTCCAGCCTGGGCAACAGAGAGAGACCCTATGTCTAAAAGAAAAGATATAAAGAAAAGGAAAGCAAATATGATTGGGTGCTCACTAGGCAGTGGGGGGCTATACCTGCAGGCGGGGCTCCAATGTGGCTCTGATGCTGGACGTTCGGTCGCTGGGGGCCGTAGAACCCATCTGCTCCGTGAACACACCCCGGGAGGTCACCCTACATTTCCTGCGCACTGCTGGACACCCTCTTACCCGCTGGGCCCTTCAGCACCAGCCACCCAGCCCCAAGCAGCTGGAAGAAGAATTCTTGGTAAGAAATTGGGGTTCCCTCCGAATCACTCTGCCCTCTGTATCAGAGGCAGCCAGCTGGAACCATTCTCTCACGGGCACCGTGGGCATGTCTCCTCTTTGGGCCCCTTAGGAAAGAGAACATCAGGGCTGAGGGAGGGGGCTGCCCCCAGGCTTCCGCTTCTGCGCCCACCCCATCTAGGCCTACATACTAATGTCAAGAAGGAATGGCCAGAGTCCAGCTGTTCTAGAAAAAGGTAGAAGGGAGAGAAAAGGAGGCTAGGAGTCAGCTGCTCACCCATTTCCTCCCCCTGCCAGAAGATCCCTTCAAACTTTGTCAGCCCCGAAGACCTGGACATCCCTGGCCACGCCTCCAAGGACCGATACAAGACCATCTTGCCAAGTAAGAACTGCAGCTGGGATGGAGGGAGTTGGGTACAGTCCCTGGGGCTAGAGAACTTCACAGGACAAAGTACACAGTTTCAGCCAGGGAAGGACAACCTTGCTTGGCACATCTTCTCTCAGCAGAGAAAGGGGGAAGAAGCAGCAAGAATCACAACAGCAGCAATAATAATGTTTGCAGATATGTACCGTGGGCCAGGCCCTGCTCTCAAACCTTTTTTTTTTTTTAAGATGGAGTTTTCGCTCCTGTTGCCCAGGCTGGAGTGCAATGGCGCAATCTCAGCTCACTGCAACCTCCGCCTCCCAGGTTCAAGCGATTCTCCTGCCTCAGCCTCCCAAGTAGCTGGGACTACAGGCATGCGCCTCCACACCCGGCTGATTTTGTATTTTTAGTAGAGATGGGGTTTCTCCATGTTGGTCAGGCTGGTCTTGAACTCCCGACATCAGGTGATCCGCCCGCGTCGGCCTCCCAAAGTGCTAGGATTAGCACTGCGTGAGCCACTGCGTCCAGTCTCAATCTTTTATATTCACTCATTTCTCACAACAATCCCATGAAATTTGTACTGTGATATTATGATGACCATTTTACAAATAAGGAAATTAAGGCACAGATAAGTTGAATATGTTACCTAAGATATTCAGCTTAGCTACTTGCATGAAGCCCTTTTCCTTGTCTTCCTCTCGCTTGGGAAGTGCCCTGCCAAGGCTTGTGGTGGAGGAAGCACCACCAGGAGGGCTCCCAGAGAGACGGCTTTGAGAAAGGCAGATGGAGACAGGGCAATGGCCTGCAAGAGAGCAGTGGCGGGGGGGATGGAGGACACTCAGCTAGGAGGGGGTGACCCTGCAAGCTGACAGACCCAGGACAAGCACCTTCTATTTTTCAGAGGCAGGCATGAGGCCCCAGAGCCTCTCCCTCCCTCCCCTGCTCTCCCTATAGGGAAGCTACTCCCAGCTTGAGGCTTTAGCTCAGTGAGCACATGGGCCCTGTCTCCTGCTAACCCTCCTGGAGTGCCCTCTGCCTGCATGGGCGGATCAAGGGGCTATTAGCGCTATTCCAGGCCAGGGGGAGGAGTACCCCTGTTCTTGGCCTAATTCTAATCAGCCCTGCAGCCACCAGAAAAGGGAACAATTCCTTTGCCTGAGATTCCCCTGGTCCCCAGGGTATCCTCTGTCCATGACCAGGCTGGCATGAGCAGAGCAAGAGTCTCTTCTCCTTTCCTCACAAGCCAGCTTCTTCAACCATGTTTGGGTTTCATTTAGAGAAATCCTTTCCCCTTAGAGGCAGAGGCCAAATGCCTCACGGCTGAGTGGAATCTGAGTCCTAGTTCCACTTCACGGCTGTGTGATATCCAGCAAGTTGCTCATCTGAATCCCATATTCACCATTAGAAAACAAATTCTTCTTCCTCTACATCTCTTTTTCCATTCCTACTGGCATAATCTTATTCTAAACCCGTACTGATCTCAAGGATAGAATTCTATATATATTAGAATATTACATCTGATATTATATCTTCCCATTTGGTCTCTGCTGTTCCGTTCCCTTTCTTCTCTAGTCCATCCTATATAGCACCACTCAGTTAACCTTTCCAAACTATTGCTTTGATCATGTCACTGTCCTGCTCAAAAACATTACATAGCTCCCTACCGTCTGCGTATAAAATTCTTCATAGGGGCCAGACATGGCGGCTCACACCTGTAATCTCAGCACTTTGGGAGGTTGAGGTGGGAGAATTGCTTGAAGCTAGAAATTCAAGACCAGCTTGGGCAACAAAGTGAAACCCTGTCTCTACCAAAAACATAAATAAATAAATAAGCCAGGTGTGGTGTGGCATGTGCCTGTAGTCCCAGCTATGTGGAAGGCTGAGACAGAAGTATCACTTGAGCCCAGGAGTTAGAGGTTACAGTGAGCTGTGATCACACCACTGCACTCCAGCCTAGGCAGCAGAGTGAGACCCTGTCTCTAAAAACAACAACAACAACAACAACAACAACAACAACTTCAGTGGGGATAAGGCCACCTGCTGTACACAAGGTGCCGGGGCTGTGATGAGCACAGGAACTCTCTTCTTTCTGATCCTGCTGGAGTCTGTGTTAGTTGGTCACCTTCTGACCTCTGACCTCTGCTGATTTTTATTTCCTAGATCCCCAGAGCCGTGTCTGTCTAGGCCGGGCACAGAGCCAGGAGGACGGAGATTACATCAATGCCAACTACATCCGAGTGAGTGGCCTGGCTGCAGTGGTGGGTGGGGAATGGGGGAATTCTCAGACATCTGAGACTATCTTCCAGCTGTGACTGGTGGATCAGGTGCCTGCATTTCCTGCCCTCCCTGCTCCAGCTCACTGCTGTCATAGCCCTACCAAGCTGGGCTGGCACTGAACGCGCCCTAAGGCACCAACCTAAAAAACGGAGCAGATGTTGAAAAATATCTGGAGAGACCACCGAGTCTCCCTAACCTCCACTATCAGCCCTCCCATGCCACCCTCTAAACTTAGCAGGAAGTTAGTGTTGTTGAACCCAATCTCCAGCTCCTCGAGAGGTCGCAGCTCCCGAGAACTGCATGGGTGATGCCAGCAGTAATGGGACCTCCCCCACAACTTACCTTAACTGACCCTCAAGTAGCCCCTCTTATGTGAAGACGGTTGATTGATGTCAAGCTATAGGAAGCTCCAGGCCAGGTGGATGCTCCTCGACAGCTTCTCGCTGCTGCGGACCCTAAGGCGATGTAAAAGCAGCGCTCTCTAGTGACTCAGTGTGGTAAGACATCAGTCAGGGGCGCAGGGAGGCGAAAAGCTCTTAGCTAGGGAAGCTATGGGGAAACACGATCTTCCATTTGCTGGCCAATACCAGATCAACTGCAGTCCTGATTCCACCATCATCTTGAGGAGCAGGAAGCTGAGGGTCCTGAAGGTGAGAAAATCAGGTTAGGGAGACTGTGCTACATTTTGCTACTACTTTTATAGAAAAGTAACACGTAAGTGTGAAACTGTCACTGAACAAATACTAAACACTGTTTAGGTATTTTGTGCTAGAAGAAAGCAGCAGGGGAGGAAGAGAATAAACATTTATAGAGCACTTGCTATATTGACTCAATATATCTTACTGAATTTAATCCACTCTACATTCCTACAAGATAGATATTATTATGCCCAATTTACAGATGATACAACTGAGGCTTACGGAGGCTAGGTAACTGGCTTATAGTGGCACAGCCAGGAAACAGCAGAACAGGGATCTGATCCTCACTCCAGAACCCATATCCTTTCCACCGTGTGGCTTCTGAGTGTGCGTGTTCATGCACGTGTTTGTCTATACCTGTGGTTCACAGCTTCAGGCTGACCCCAACACCTGAGGCATCCAGGATCACCCCAGAGTTCTGCTCTCACTGCTCCCCACCCCTTCCCCTGTGCTTCCACCTTCCAGGGCTATGACGGGAAGGAGAAGGTCTACATTGCCACCCAGGGCCCCATGCCCAACACTGTGTCGGACTTCTGGGAGATGGTGTGGCAAGAGGAAGTGTCCCTCATTGTCATGCTCACTCAGCTCCGAGAGGGCAAGGAGGTAGGAGGCAGAGCCACGTTCATGATGAACCCAGAAAGTGCTATGCCCGCCCCACCCCCTACTCCCCACACAGGGCAGCTCAGGACCAGAGGTTTCCCTGGGAGCCAGCCCCAGCTCATACCTCTCAGAAAATTCCCTGAGATATACCCCTGGGAGGCTGTCCATGGCCGAAATATAGGATAGGGTGAGCACTCTGCTTGCAGGCGTCAAGCTCAGAAGAGCCAGGCTCCCTGTTGCTGACCTTCCATCCAGTAGGGGTGGAAGATGGGGAGGAGATACCAGCCCCTCTTTGCTGCCCTGTCACCTGCTCCAGCTGACCCTCTTCTGACTCCCAGCTTCCTCCCTCCTAGAAATGTGTCCACTACTGGCCCACAGAAGAGGAAACCTATGGACCCTTCCAGATTCGCATCCAGGACATGAAAGAGTGCCCAGAATACACTGTGCGGCAGCTCACCATCCAGGTACCACCCCAGGGGCCAGGCCCAGTGGGAGGTTGGGCTGCCCACAGCATCTCTGGAACTCAGGCCGGCTCTTCACTAGGAGCCAAGGGTTTGCTCATCTAAACCATCTTAAATCCACATCTATAGAAGAAAGAGAAACTTGAGCACTGTCCTCAGCCTCTAGTCTAATAGGGCAGAGCCAAAAAGCTGAATAGGACTACCAGGAAGTACCCACCTGTCTGTGTGAATGGTCAGGCGAGGATAGGCAGGATCCAGGAGCCGGGCCAAGGGAAGGAGAGGAGGTTAAAGGAGATGTGGAAGGCTAGGTGTGGCAGCTTATGCCTGCAATCCCAGCACTTTGGGAGGCTGACGCGGGCGGAGTCCTCCTGAGGTCAAGAGTTCCAGACCAGCCTGGCCAACATGGTAAAACCTCGTCTCTACTAAAAATTACAGCTACTTGGGAGGCTAAGACAGGAGAATCACTTGAACCCAGGAGGCAGAGGTTGTAGTGAGCCGAGATTGTGCCACTGCACTCCAGCCTGGGTGATGGAGTGAGACTGTGCGTCTCAAAAAAACAAGCAAAAAAAAAAAAAGAAAGAAAGAGATGTGGAATAACATGTACATAAGGGCTTTTTAAATGCCTTCTGTTATTTTATGGTGTTTTATATTTTTGAAAGCATTCCTCTATCAACTCATTCTCCTCCAAATATCCTAGCAAGTAAACCAGTAAGATATCACTGTCCCCATTTTCCAGGTGAAGAAAATGAGATCAAGGGACTTGCCCAAAGTCATGTGCTTATGGGAAGCAGAGCCAGGACTTGAATTTCGGTGTCTCCCCTCTCCCAGGACAATGCTCCTTCCCAGCATTTTGGAGGGGGAAGCGGTGGAGAATGATGAACATGAAAATTGCAACCTAGCTTGCTTTGAGTAGATGACCCCCCACAGGGTAATTCCAGCCCTTGCCCTCCTCAGTCACCAGAGAAAAAGGCAGACAGTGCCCTCCACCCTGACCTTGATTCTCATGCCTTGTCTCCAACCCAGTACCGGGAAGAGTGCCGGTCAGTAAAGCACATCCTCTTCTCAGCCTGGCCCGACCACCAGACACCAGAATCAGCTGGGCCCCTGCTGCGCCTAGTGGCAGAGGTGGAGGAGAGCCCGGAGACAGCTGCCCGCCCCGGGCCCATCGTAGTCCACTGCAGGTGCGTGGCCCTCCCTTCACTGCAGCCTGTGGACTGCGCTCCACTCCCCTGCCCCCTGGGTCTCTCCTGGGGAAGGGTCTGAGCAGAAGAGCATCAGGCAAGCCTAGTCCTTACTTGGACATGACTCACAAGGCCATTCAGCAAGGGCTCTGTTCTTTTCACCTCCTTCATGCAGAACCCAGACATCTGGGCTGGACACCCAGGCCCCATCCACAGAGGGGACAGAGTATCAGGAAGGTCCCAGTCAGCTGCAGGAGGACATAAACAGGATTCCAACTGTTGGGGAACTCATTTACTCATTCAACAAATATGTATTGAAAACCCTATTATTGGCCGGGCACAGTGGTTCACACCTGTAATCCCAGCACTTTGGGAGGCCGAGATGGGCAGATCACTTGAGGTCAGGAGTTTGAGACCAGCCTGGCCAACATGGTGAAAACCTGTCTCTACTAAAAATACAAAAAGTAGCACGTGCATGTAATCCCAGCTACGTGGGAGGCTGAGGCAGGAGAATTGCTTGAACCTGGGAAGTGGAAGTTGCAGTGAGCTGAGACTGCACCACTGCACTCCAGCCTGGGCAACAGAGCAAGACTCCATCTCAAACAAACAAACTAACAAAAACAAACAAAGAAGGCAGATTAAACAATTAAATACCGGCCGGGTCTGTAATCCCAGCACTTTGGGAGGCCAAGGCAGGCGGATCACCTGAGGTCGGGAGTTCGATACCAGCCTGACCAACATGGAGAAACCCTGTCTCTACTAAAAGTACAAAATTAGCTGGCCATGGTGGTGCATGCCTGTAATTCCAGTTACTTGGGAGGCTGAGGCAGAAGAATCACTTGAACCTGGGAGGTGGAGGTTGTGGTGAGCTGAGATCATGCCATTGCATTCCAGCCTGGGCAACAAGAGTAAAACTCTGTCTTAAAAAAAAAAACAAAAAACTATTAAATATCACACAATGTGATGAGAGCTGTGATGGGGATATGATGGGGAGCATAGAACCAAGTCTCCTAAGCCAGACTTTGACCAGAGAAGGTTTTCCAAGAGAAAGGCCATCTAAGCCAAGCTAAGACCTGAAAGGTGAATTAGCCAAGCGAAGAGAGGGAAGGGAACACATTCCAGGCAGGTGGAACAGCATATGCTAACTAAGGCCCAGAGAAGAAATGTGAAAATGGATACACTGCTGGGAGCAGGGTTACAGGTTGGGCCCAGAGGTTATGTGTGGGGTAATGATGAGAGATGGGTTTGGAAGGCCAGTGAAGGTCAGATGATGAGGGGCCTTGTAGGACTGGCTAAGACACTTGGTTGTAAAATAACACTTTGGCTATAGAGTGAAAAATGGATTGGGCTGGAGTGAGAGGGTATCGTAGGGGATAAGACTAAAGAAAGAGATCATTTGGGAGTGCATATCCTAAATAAAACAGAGCACAGAGGCAAAAAGCATGACACAGGGCCTTCCCAGCCCACCCACAGGTAGCAATGGGACATGTGCAGGGAGGTCATTAGAGGCTCATGCAAGAGGAACAGGAGGCCTGGGGAGTTTTGAAATAAACAGAGGGCACGATGGAGCAAGCAAAGCAGAGCGGAGAGAAGACTGTGGGAGGGCACCGAGGTGGGAAACAGAAGGGCCGGGCATGGGCTGCGTGGAAGATGAGTCTGAGCTGAGAGGAAGTCAAGGTTAAATAAGGAGGGCTCAAGGGTCAGCACGCCCACAAGTGGGGAACTGTCTGTTGGAAACTGCTGTAGATGCTCAGCAGAGGGGAGATCATCAAAACGTCCACAGGGACCAGAAGGTGGCCTGCAACAGGCTTACAGTGAGGCTGGTAAGAAATGTAAACTCCTCCCGTGCCAGTTATAACCTGCCTCCAGCAGGGTCCCCAAGGGGACTGGAATCCGAAGTACTCTACCTGCCCCCATCTCCAGAGTCCTATCCCCAAAATACAGCACCTGCAGGTCCCATTTCTTTCTCCATGGTTTGGGGCCTGGCTCTCAGATTCCCTTGTCTCCCATGACCTCCCTGTCCCCTCCCTGGCTATCTTCAGTGCAGGGATTGGCCGGACAGGCTGCTTCATCGCCACGCGAATTGGCTGTCAACAGCTGAAGGCCCGAGGGGAAGTGGACATTCTGGGCATTGTGTGCCAACTGCGGCTAGACAGGTGGGTCTGTGGGTGTAAACAAGGCCAACAACGTTAATGGGGGGCATCAGTGCCTCTGGGCCCCAGAGCCCTGATAGGCCCATCACCATCAAGCACTCCTGCAAGAAAGGAAGAAACCCTTCCTGCTTAGAGCTGTTTATTTTGCAACTAACAACCAGCAAAAAATATCTATCTGGATGGCCGGGCGCGGTGGCTCACACCTGTAATCCCAGCACATTGGCAGGCTGAGGTGGGTGGATCACCTGAGGTCAGGAGTTCGAGACCAGCCTCGCCAACATGGTGAAACCCTGTCTCTACTAAAAATACAAAAATTAGCCGGACCTGGTGCGGGCCCTTGTAATCCCAGCTACTCACGAGGCTGAGGCAGGACAGTTGCTTGAACCCAGGAGGTGGAAGTTGCAGTGAGCCAAGATTGTGCTATTGCACTCTAGCCTGGGCGACACAGCAAGACTCTGTCTCAAAAAAAAAAAAAAAAAAAAGAATATCTATCTGGAAAGTTGGCTTGGAGGCCTGGAATTAAACATGATATGAGGCAACAAGTAGTGCAACGAAGCTCACTGGGTTGAAGCAGAGCCAGTGTTCAGATTCCAACTTTTGTCTCACTGAGATGTCACTAGATTTCTCTGAGCTCCCATTTCTTTTTTTTTCCTTTCTTTCTTCTTTTTTTAATAATAGAGATGGGGTCTCACTATGTTGCCCAGACTAGTCTCGACCTCCTGGGCTCAACAATGCCCCCTTGGCTTCGCAAAGTACTGGGATTACAGGCTTAAGTCACTGTGCCCAGCCCCCACTTCTTTATCTAGAGAGAGATAATGGCTCCTTCCCCCAGAAAACTGTTGTAAGAAATGAGTTAACTTATATGAAAGTGTTTTGGAAATGGAAACTATTATATAAATGTATGGAATCATTATTTTTACTTTTAAGATTATTAGAAAGAAGGAAACTTGAGGCTCAGGAGTATTCCTGGCCCGACTCAAGGCTTCAGAGGTCTGGTTTTGTCCCAGGAGCTGAGTGAATCAAGGAAGACCAAGCGTCAACACGGGGCATCACCCCTCAGCACGTGTAAGGGGCAGAGGACTCCTCTCACAGCAAATCTGAGGGTCAGCAAGGAGGAGTAGCAAGTAGAAAAGATGAATATAGGTGGCAGGGCATGGTGGCTCATATCTGTAATCCTAGCACTTTGGGAGGCCAAGATGGGCCAATCACTTGAGGTCGGGAGTTCAAGACCACCCTGGGCAACATGGTGAAACTCCGTTTCTACTAAAAATACAAAAATTAGCTGAGCATGGTGGCAGGCACCTACAGTCCTAGCTACTCAGGAGATTGAGGCAGGAGAATCACTTGAACCCGGGAGGCAGAGGCTGCAGTGAGCCAAGATCATACCACTACTCTCCAGCCTGGGTATCAGAGTGAGACTGTCTCATAAAAAAAAGAAAAAAAAGAAAAAGAAAAGAGTAACACAGGCAAAGGAGTTGGCATGTTCTTTGAGAAAGTCAGGACTTTTCCAGTAGGACCGCAAGAATGTTTGACTGGAGCCATTCAGCCAGCACCCTGACCCTCCTTTACTCATGGTCTGTGTATTTCTCCTTGCAGAGGGGGGATGATCCAGACGGCAGAGCAGTACCAGTTCCTGCACCACACTTTGGCCCTGTATGCAGGCCAGCTTCCAGAGGAACCCAGCCCCTGACCCCTGCCACCCTCCAACAGCCCAGGCACCCACCTCCCTCAAGCCTGGGAAGGTGGGTCTGGGGAAAGTGGGCCGAGTGATCTGGGGGTACCCCTTGGGTGGGTGTGCTTCTTAGTGGTGCTTGCAGTCACAGGAAGCAGCATCAGTAAGGACAAGGGGCTGGACTCCAGGTCTTCACCACTGGCCACTCCTCTGCTTCCTCTGTTGGCCCCAGATGGACGTAAGGGGAACCTCCAATGTCTCTCTGAACTTAAAGACAGGAGCTGGCAATTTATGACAGACAAAGAAAGAAGCCCAGGTGTCCTGGTCTTCTCTAAGACACTCTTTGTGAGCTTCAGTTTCCTCTTCTATAACATGAATATTAAGTGCTTAGCTGCCATGAGGGAAAAGCAATGAGAGAAGTTTCTAGAAGCCACTCCAGTCACTCCTTCCTGGGGCTGAAAAAAGGGTGATTCCAAGACCATCCTTCACCCGAGGCCCTGCCCAAGCACAGGCCAGATGCAAGAATGGGGAAAAGTCTGGTCCTGATCTCCAAGTCTCAACATCTTAGCAGTGACTCTGCTCCCTGACCAGACATCGGAAGGGCTGGACAACTCCAATCCAAAGAAAGAACAAGGACTCTGGTTACCCTCGCCTCCACTCATGTGTCCTAAGAGTAGGCTACAGAGGTGACCGCGCCTGGCAGTTGAAATCTCAGGAAGAGGGAACATGTGGGGACTACTCAGAGGCAAAGAGGGGCTGCTCCTGCCTCCATGGTTGCTGGCCACTCCCACCAACTACTCTTAGGGAGGCTGAGCAGTCTCTGTTTTGCTTCCATGGCTTAAATAATACCCTGGGTATGCAGGAAGACAAAAGAAAGAGGCAAGGGGAGAAGAGGAGGCAAAGTGCTTAGTCTGATTTTAGATAACCAACCCCACCATGACCCTCTATACTCTGCATTTGCTGAGTACACCTAGAGAGCTTGGCTGTTTCCAAAAACAATCAGGGTCATAACCATCCATGCAGACATGGAGGCTCGGCTGAAACTGGACTCCTCACTGTCTACCCCAGAGAACGAGCGCCCCTCATCCATCTCAGCATCAACACAATTTCCAGGGGACCTCAGGTCTAACTAAGGACTGAACGCCACACCTCAGGATTCGTCCTTCTTGAATCTGAGACAGGCTGCCTATTCTGAGATGGGGATGAAGGTAAGATGCTGCATCACTGGGCATGCCGCCCCTGAGAGCTGCCTTGATACCAGTTCTCTGTGGAAACCCCCGAGGAGCTGGATCTGGAGAACAGCTGGGCCTCCTCACTCAGGACTTCTCTCCTAAAGAACACGCAGTGCTAAAACTGAGGATGATTTCCCTAATGCTTCTGCTTGGCCTTGTGGAGGAGCTGCTCCTTCCTTACAGCCCTGGGGATGGACTTGCCCACACCTCCACCTCCCCTGAGCCCTGTGAGAGGCACAACTGTCTATGCCAATGAGGCTCGGTGGGGGGCTCTCAAGTGCCTGATCCTGCCCTGGGCTCAGAGCCAGCCCAGAGGGAAGCAACTGCACAGCCCCACAGGCCTTCCCTGGCACTGCCCTCCCAACCCCATCTCAGAGCTCAGAGGGCACAAGCTCCAAAACAGTAACCAAGTGGGAAAATAAAGACTTCTTGGATGACTGACTCATTCCTTCTTTCCATCTTCTTCTAGGCCCTCTGGGGCTTCTTTGTAAGAAGAAAGACTGCAGACCAGGGACAGGCAGGCTGCAAATCTTTGCCCTTGGGATATGCACTTTTTTAGCACTTCCAAGGACATAAAATAAGGTGAAACCAAAGTCAATTTAGGAAGTGAGACAGGGTGGACTCTCATAGTCTACTCAGGCAGCTGTAACAATTCCCACTACCGTAAACCGTGTGGCTTCTAAACAACAGAAATGTATTGCTGGCCTGGCGCGGTGCTCAGCAGCATGCCTGTAATCCCAGCCCTTTGGGAGGCTGAGACAGGTGGATCACGAGGTCAGGAGATCGAGGCCATCCTGGCTAATACAGTGAAACCCTGTCTCTAATAAAGACAAAATATTCGCTGGGTGTGGTGGCACACACCTGTAGTCAGCTACTCAGGAGGCTGAGGCAGAAGAATTGCTTGAACCCTGGAGGCGGAGGGTGCAGTGAGCTGAGATCGTGCCACTGCACTCCAGCCTGGACCACAGAACAAGACTCCGTCTCAAAAAAAAAAGAAAAAGGAAAAAAGAAATGTATTGCTCACAGTTCTGGAGGCTGGGAAGTCTGAGATCGAGACCCTTGCAGACTCAGTGTCTGGCTATTAGGCAGAGCCTTCTTTCTTTCTTTTCTTTTTTTTTTTTTTTTGAGACGGAGTCTCACTGTCGCCCAGGCTGGAGTGCAGTGGCGTGATCTCGGCTCACTGCAAGCTCCACCTCCCGGGCTCATGCCATTCTCCTGCCTTAGCCTCCCGAGTAGCTGGGACTACTGGCACCCGCCACCACGCCCGGCTAATTTTTTATATTTTTAGTAGAGACGTGGTTTCACCATGTTAGCCAGGATAGTCTCGATCTCCTGACCTCGTGATCCGCCCGCCTCGGCCTCCCAAAGTGCTGGGATTACAGGCGTGAGCCACCGGGCCCAGCCTTAGGCAGAGCTTTCTTTCTGTCCTTGCATGGTGAAAAGGTTGTGGGCTGGTGTTCTTCCCCCTAACCCCACCCGCCCCTTTATAAGGCCCCACCCTTATGACTTAAATCACCTCCTAACACCATCACCTTAGGGGTTAGGACTTCCACCTATGAATTTTGGGGGACATCAACATTCAGTCCATAGCCTTTATCTTAGGAGCTAGAGGGGGACTTATAAAGGGCAGAGGTTAGAAAGATGGTGCTTAATAAACTAGACTATTGGCCAGGCACAGTGGCTCATGCCTGTAATCCCAGCACTTTGGGAGGCTGAGGCAGGCAGATTGCTTGAGCTCAGGGCTTTGAGAACAGCCTGGACAACATGGCAAAACCCCGTCTCTACAAAATATACAAAAATTAGGCAGGCATGGTGGCGCATGCCTGTAGTCCCAGCTACTCAGGAGGCTGAGGTGGAAGAATCACCTGAGCCTGAGGAGGTGGAGGCTGCAGTGAGTCGAGATCTCACCACTGCACTCCAGCCTGGGTGACACAGTGAGAATCTTGTCAAAAAAAGAAAAACAAAACAAAACAAAAAACCAGAATATTATTCTAGCCCAAACCTTGTGATTCTTCTACTTTGGTAACTTTTTGACTATTTGGGGTCATCTAACTCTGGTCGATTGGACAGATATGGTTGATATTGATAGTTTATCCACTTTTGACTAAAACAATAGACTACATACGACTACATTTGAAAACCAAATCCCAACGGGCAGCCAGCAGAGGCTGGGGACTGCCCGAAGCCTGGGCCTACCCAGACGGTCAGCTGGGGTTGTCAGCCTGCCTGAGCAGGCCCTACGGGTGGGTCCTGCAAGGAAGGGGGCAGGAGTGAGGCAGCTTTGCAGGCACTCCACACCCACTTCAGGAGAACTATCACTTCTCCTCCTGAAGAATACTCTGCTTTTCACCAAAACAGGGCAACATTTGCCTTTGTCACAGATGTTCCTCACTGGAAGCCCCCTGCCAGGACTGTATCTGCTTCGGTACCTTGGGGATGCTGGTAAAAATCGGGAGCAACTTCAAGAGTCCGTTTCACTTGGGGCCAGAGGCTTCCTAACAAGTGGTCGGGGTAAATTGTGGTGAACAAAACAAGATGGAGTATGAAAAGGCCCGAATACGGTTGTCCCTCTGCGCTGGGAGCATTTTGAGAGGATGGGACTCTACCCCGGGATGCTCAGAGGCAAGGGTTCAGGAACAAAAAAGCCTCCATTTGCCTCCCTGTCGTAGAGATCTCATCTTCGTGTCCTGGAAAGTGAGTGACACACTCTCCTTCAACCTGGAAAGGCTCCTGCTTAACCGGGACCTCACCCACCTCGAGCCCACCACCCTTTAAGAAAGGGGGTGCCAGTTAGGGCGCGGCGGTGGGGGACAGGGTCTAAAATAAATTAGACCCCATTTCCTAAGCGCCTCTCGACGCCAACTGCCAGTCAACCCCCGCCCCTGAAGCCTGCGGGTTCCCTGCTCACCCCACCTGCGGGTGCGGCCCCTGGTCCCCGGCTCCGGCGA